CAAAGAACTTGTTTGAACAGTCTGTCACTTAAAGGTTCTCAGACTCTGTTAGGCATTAACCTTTGACAGTCCGTCACAGTAGTGTATTCACAGGCCTAGTATTTGAAAAAGCTGCATGTTCAGAAAATAAACTACAGGAATATCAGACCAAACCCAGCAAAAAGCTAGTAAGTCTAACTGTGATTCAGACTTCCCAAACTTTTTGAAGGTGGCAATATCACTGCTGAACATCTGTGATGGCCACAGCAAGCAACTTGCATTTAAATGACAAAAGCGATTCACCCATTTCACCTATCCCCTAATGTATGGCCAGATGTGCACACAGAACAACTTTTCAGTTCACCTGCCTACAGGTTCCTGCTCTGTTTGCATCAGCTCTTGAACTCACAGAATGAGTCTCACTGACCAGCTGTTTACCTAATGGAGCTCTTGCAGGTATTCCCCAATGCAAGGTTTAATTCTCTTGTTAGCATGTCTGGTTAGCCCTACTATCAGGTATCTCCTAATTCACCACTAGAAACCCTGCTAGGTATTTAAGCTTTCAGGATAGGACCAAGCTGTTCTTTTGAACACCCATCTTCCTGACATTGTTTTCAAGTGCCTACTTTTGTTCTTTTCAGCACACATTCCCTTTTTGCCTCTGGCCTTATGTTATTCTCAGTTGTCTTCTTCGCCGGACAGAGGCCTTAACTATGGTCTTGGCTTTACTTTACTCTAATGCTGGTACTCAGGTTTCTAGGAATGGACTGTCTACCTGGGCTTCTGTCTCTGGCTGTTGTCTAATGTGCTTTGTGTGCCGCTCACTGGAACTATCCAGCTAGCTGGGACCTGGCTTACAACACAGTGGGGATCCTTACCAAGATTTTTTAATGAGGATGATCTCTTACACAGCTTGAGGAAAGGGACACATTTTCTGCCCTGCCTTTCAAATTCAGACATTTTCACCAGGTCTGCTAGGTATGGAGAGAAAGAACCTCGATCCAGAACAGGGTTCAAATGTTAATGTAACTATAAAGCTGACAGGGCGACTCAATCTTCAGTTCCAAAGGAGCGAGGGCAGCTGGAAGAGCATCTGCTTGGCATGCAGAAGGTCTCAGGTTCAATCCCTGGCATCTCTTGTTAAAAAGGACCAGGCATTGGGTGATATGAAAGACTTATGCCTGAGACCCTGGAGAGCCACTGCCACTCTGAGTAGATGTTACTGACTCTGATGAACTGATGGTCTGTTTCAGTATAAGGCAGCTTCATGTGTGCTTGGGTTGGTAGTCCACATGGCTAGGCATAGCACTGGTGCTACAGACTGGGGATGCAGAGGTGGGGCAGTGGCTAATGCTTCCTTCTCATGCTGTTTCCCCCAAACAAATCACCTCCCTGAGTGGCAATTAGATCCAGTAGATTATGAAGGCAGGCAGACGTCTTATCCTTCCTCCCAGCTTTAATAAGGGGAGTTCTCTTGGAAAAGACAAGGATCTCCCTCCCCCTGCCCTGGTGCTATGGCCCCAATCTAAATCAGGGAGCATTAAGGATGTTTTTTGAGCTTAAATTACACGCTGGGGGATTCAATCACGGCTCACCAATATCACGTGCAGTTTGGCCCTTAGATACAGAACGCTGCCCCCATCTGAACCTGCAGCTGTGGGTCAGCATCCTGCACTATGTTTTCCTTCAGCACGTGGAACTACTTGTGTGTATTGAGCAGGCAGAATAGTTTATTTATTTATTGAAAGATTTCTACGCTGCCTTTCCATTCAACCCAGGGGCCCCAAGGCAACAAGCATTAAAACAATCCAGGCATTAAAAAGCATTTAAAATACACACCAAAAAAAAAAAACACACAACCCTTTTAAAGCAAGTAAAGAAAACATAAACACAATTACATAAAAACACACAGACAAGGAGGACAGCTAATGCCAAACAAACAGATCCTCATCTGCTGGCAGAAGCCAACGAAAGGTGGAGACACACAAACCTCCCTGGGGAGGAAAGTTTTGGTGCCATGACTGAGAAGGCCCTTTCTTGGGTTACCATCCATCTAGCTGCAGGTGGGGGGGGCACCCAAAGTTGTGCCTCCCAAGATGAGGGTAGGTATGTTCATATAGTAGTAGATGGCCCTTCAGGTATGCTGGCCACAAGCCATATAGGGTTTTAAAGGTCAATATCAGCACCTTGAATTGGGCCAAAATGAAACGGGGAGCCAGTGTCAATGGAACAAGGCATGGGTGGTATGATCCCTATGACCCACCTCCAGTCAGTGCTCTGGATATAGCATTTTGTAACAACTTGAGCTTCAAGACGGTCTTCAAAAGCAGCCCATGTGCTGAGAATCCCCAACTGACAGCCCTGGGCATACGAATAGTAGTTTCCCATTCTGCAAAATGGGCATAATAATACTGGACTAACTTAAGGGGCTGGTGTCAGGAATACTCACAAATACTATGCACGTATAGCAACAAACGTTATGGAAAAGTTTTAATAGTGTGAGATGAACAGAAAGGTCTCAGCTTAGACTGATTTACACATTATTTTTACAATGGTTGCAGCTCCCCGCTGTATCAATTTATAGCCAACCATAAGTGTTTCCCTAACGATATGATTCGAAAGGACTGATTGCTGCCAGATACATGTTATGTAGCACAGACTGTGTCAGCATTTCTTTTACAACAACGATTTTTGAAGAATTTCTCACTCAGAAATATAGATTTTTGTGGAATGAGAAACTCCACGTACTGTCTCAGCTCTGCAAGTCGCACAAATAAATCAGGGGTGAGGAGAGTGCTTTATCTAGTGGTGGCTAGCGTATGCCGCATGGTTGCTGAACACCCTGTTGTTTCACTGATCATCTGCTAAGTTCCAAATTAAAAGGGTGATGAGCCAGGATCAGAGGACAGTGTGAAAGCTGCATTTGTCACACACACACACCTCTGGTACATTAAGCACCAATGAACTGTTGCAAGTCACTGAGCTTCTCTCCAGCAGCTTGGATAAGCTAGGAAATAAATTGACTTTGGTTTTCTTGAACAAGAGGCTGCTGTTGGAGGAGACTAGAGTCAGATCCTTATCTGGTATAGATAGAGCTTTCTGCACTGACTTCAAAGAAATTGTGCCAGCTTGTAGTATTTGAAGATCCAGCACTTACGGTCCAGCTGCCCTGCAGCTTGCACCACATCTTCAGCAAGAATACAGATTGCTTATAAGTCTATTAGATGCTTCTCTGGTTGCAGTGCAGATAGTGAACTGATGGATTAACCAAACATACAGAATGAGCAGCAATAGTGTGTCTTTCAGATGGGGTTCCCCCACACAAAAATCAATAGAAAAATATCTCAAGACTTGCCCTCCCCATTTCCAAATCACTGATGCCCTTACAGATTTGCTGTTTCCCACAGTCCTTGCACTTGATTCTAAAATTCACAGAGGTCAGAATCAGTGGCTGTGACCCCTTTCCACTTCTCCAGACATTGATCACAGACTGATGGTTTCATGAAAAGGGGATACTAAAGGGATCACTGATACTGCCAAAGAAAACAAGAAGCTATACTGTTTTAAAAAAGAAACTAAGCTGAATCAAGAGGTTGACATCTTCCAGCTTTATAAGACTTCTTACTCATGAGGAAGATTGGTGAAATGAGTGTAAAAACTGGTGTGCTCATCGAGGATATGATTATGTTGGACTTTGCTTTGCCCATGCCTGAATTCTTTTACTATATTGTAAAGTTTAATAGCTTCACAAATTGATGCTCATAGAATTATTAAATGTGTCCTTGTTAATTTGGCCCTCAAAAATTTGGCAGACATTAACCGGTGCCCTCAAAAATTTGGGTTTTCAGATCATGCGCATTGAAGTAGGAAAATACATGTGTCACCCTGTTCACAGAACATGGGAACCAAATGTACTGGAAGGATGTGTGATCTCCCTTACTGCTGATTGTTAATGACTGAAAACAGCTCACATCCTTGACCTTTACTTTTCAGGGATCCTGGGAAAGAGGGATTGTCTGTTAATCCAGCTAAAGTAACATTTTTATTGTGTTGTAGCACTGAGGAATGTAAGTTTGCACAGCATTAAAGTCAGAATTGTAGGTGTGATTCAGTCTCATTGCAAGTGCAGTCTCCGTGAGATACAGGTTATTTGTAGGGACATGAATACAGGCGAGAAGGCCTGGGCAGAGCTCTGCCTTCTCATTCCCTGTGTCTGGAGCACATGGGCACATCAAAGGGCAGAGCAGGAAACACTCCTGTGGGAATTCTTCACATGCTGGTGCTGTGCCAATAGGAGCCAAGAATATCCCTTTGTACAGTGGTAGACGACCCCAAGCATGTGTGCCAACAGTGACATACCAGACTACTTTGTTTAGCACCCAGGGCTAGATCTTTGCCCAAGCAACAGCAGCACTGGGTTGGATGTTTACCCATGGTGTAAACTGCGAGTAAGTGCCACATTTGATTAATTGGAACCCCCATTCCACCAGATAACAAGGCTTGTACTGTTGTTTTAAATGCAGCTGGTTTCTTGACCTTATGATCCCTGACTTGTAAGTCATTTTGTCTCATAGATATCTAGAGTTGAGCTTTGCAACATTCACACAAAATTATATTACTTTTCATTAGAAGCTTTTGTAACTTTTACTTGAAATAAAAATATTTCCAGTGCTGCTTTTTTTCAAATGACTGTCATGTCTTGAAGTGCTGGAAGGGCAATGCATCTTTCAAAGAGTAAGTGCCTCACTTTGTGTTGCAGGAAATTCACAGTAATGTAACTTTGACCTAAATAACAGTAGCTCTACATGCAGTCAATAGCCACTGTACACTGAAAGGAACTGTAGTGTCCAAAGTTCATGTTTTAGGGGATAGATAGATGACAGACAGACAGGCAGACAAACATGGAATGAAGGTAGTATTGAAATGAAGTCTTTTGCTGAAACCATCATAGCTGTCACTGTTAGTTGCTAATATTTCAACATAGTTTACTCATCTCTAAAATGGCCCAAAACATCACCAACCTTCCTATAGCTCCAGTGTTGGTTGCCCTTCATACCATGACAGTCATAAAGTGTAACAGGACTACTGTGTGAAACAGCATCAAAGCAGAATTTCCTGGTGTGAAGAGGCTCTCCTGGACGGATGTCTTCCCTCCAACCAAAGGTGAAGAGCTAAGAAAAAACATTCAAGCAAAACAGTCATGTGTGGCCACTGAACTGAACTACAGACACATCAAGACAGGTTGTCCGTTATCACCGTTATTATTTATCTGGGTATTGGAAATACTTTTACAAAAAATACAGTACGATCAAGAAATAAAGGGCTTGACACATAAAGGACACCAATACAAATATCGAGCATTTGCAGACGATGTAATGTTTATGGTGGAAAACCCAACAGAAAATTTGACATTGCTTTTTCAAAAAATAAAGGAGTTTGGAGAATTGGCCGGCTTTTAAAAGACAGGAAATTATTCCACCTGCCTTTACTGTTCCAAACAACAAACCAACCATTTTAGGCTCCAGTAAAATTATTAATAACAGCATAGAACCTTCATAAAGAATAATGGCTAGACTCCACCTGCCCAACAATCAGAATAATAATTATTTTAAGAAGGAATACACCTTTTGAAGATCATTCAGCCATGTGAAACCACACCTGCAGTCTGAAGGAGTGTAGCCTGACTATAGTTTACCACTTCAGTCATCAATCAGAACTACGCCTCAGTGTTCCCATGCTCTCAGTTTGGCCTAGATGGTTTATACAAGTGGGAACCTGCAAGGACTTGCAGGAGACATCTCATTTTCCCTTCCTCTACTATTTCTTCTTTCCCTTTCCTAAAAGCCCTCATAGTCTCTCCCCTTTTTTTTGCTTCCTTCTCTCCTTCTAGGGTTGCTAACTCCCGGGTGGGGCTGGGATAGGGTTGCCAGGTACCCTCGTCGGTCCGGCGGGGGGATTGGGGGAGGCGTTCTGGGGGTGGGTGGGGATGTTGTGTGGGGACACTCTGGTATTTGAGTGAAACACTGTGGTTTTTTCATCCTCAAACTATAGAATTTGCCCAAATACCAGAGTATCCCTGTGCGACATCCTCAATGCGATGAGGTCACTTTTGGGTGATGTCATTGTGCTGGGGATGTTTGCGCAGCAAAGTCCCCTGCCAGCCAGCTGGTCCATGGTGGGGAGAAGCTGAGGGATCCCCTGCCCAGACCTGGGGGCTGGCAAGCCTAGGCCGGGAGATCTGGAAACACAACAGAGCTCTCAGTGACAGAAATCAGTTCCCCCATTAGGGTTGCCAACATCAGGCTGGGAAATTCCTGGACATTTGGGGGTGGTGCCTTGGGAGGGCAAAGTTTGAAGATGGAAGCAACTTCAGCATGGTATAATGCCGTAGAGTCCACCCTCCATTTTCTCCAGGGGAGCTGGAGAGCACTTGTAATTCCAGGTGATCTCCACCCCCCTCACCTGGAGGTTGGCAACACTAGTGCCCCTGGAGGAAATGGTTGTTTTGGAGGGTAGAGTCTATGGCCTTGTATCCCTCTGAAGTCCCTCCCCCCCTCAAAACCCACCCTCCGTAGGCTCCACCCCTCAAATCTCCAGGAATGTCCTAACCTGGAGGTATCCTTCCCATCCAACAGCCAACCTACATTTGTCTGTTCCTCTGTCTTTCCCTCTCCTTCACCCCTGGCAGCCTCTACCTAGGAAAACTGAGGCCCAGTTGTATAAGGCCAGCCATTGGGCCAGGCCCACTTGCGTGGTAGGGAACCCTCAAAAACTTGTGGGGGGTCACACTTCACTTTCCAGTTGAGAGCCAGTTTGGGGTAGTGGTTAGGAGCGTGGACTCTACTTTGGGAGAATCGGGTTTGATTCCCCACTTCTCCACATGCAGGTACTGATGTGACCTTGGATCAGTTACAAGTTCTTTCAGACTTGTTCTCTCAAGAGCAGTTCTATTTTCTTTCCTCCCCTCTTTTCCCCTTTCCCATTTTCTTTATACAAACTAATAAAATTATTTTTAAAAAAAGAAAAGAAAGAGCTCTCTCAGCCCCACCTACCTCACAGGGTGCACATCTTCTGCTTGCCTCATATTCTCCTTCTCAGCCATTCCCCACATTTTCTGGGACTTTTCAGTTCAGAAAAGAGACAATTAAGGAGGGGGCATGATAGAGGTTTAGAAAATTGGTAGAGAGAACTTTTTCTCTCTCTGCCAAAATACTAGAACTTGAGGGCACCCAATGAAGCTAATGTTCTGCCTCAAATGCCAGAACAGACCTGGAAGGAACTCTGCCCCCTCCCCCCACCTTTTTACTCACAGAAACCCAGCTTGGAGTACTGTAGTTGCCTAGCAACAGCCACTGAGGGAATCTGTTGCTTAAAGCTACAAGTGCTCTGTTTAACTTTTGGGCGGGTTTTTAAGCTGCCCAATGTATTTTTTAAAGATAACATTTTTTCCTGCAAAATTGGGGCCCTTTTCCAGTTTGTAGAAAGATCTGTCTTGCCCATTTACAGCTCCAGTCTCCAGATTAAAATATCCAAAGATTTGGTTGATTTAGCTATTAGTATATAGATTACAACTGATTTCCAGATGACAGAGATCAGTTTCCTTGGAGAAAATGCCTGCTTTGAATGGTGGAATCTATGACATTATACCCTGCTGAAGTCCCTCCATTCCCCAAACCCTGTCATCCCTAGCCCCCCACGCCCCCCCCCAATGTCCAGGAATTCCCCAACCCAGAGTTGACAACCTTAATTTACTTCCTTTATAGTTCACCTTTCCCACTGAAACTCAAGACAGACTATAAAATTTAAAAACAGTTCAATCAGACAGCAGTAGCCACCAAAACCAATGTAGGAGGACTAGGAGATAGGGTTGCCAACCCCCCCCCCCACCGGTTTGCCAGGGGTCCCCGTTTTGGGGGAG